GGCTTTTGTTTTGAAGGTAAATTTCGCTGTTTCCTTTGCGCTACACGCTACTTTCCCTCAGTTAGGTAACAGCTTCCCAGGTCATTTTGTACACGCGAACGGCAGCAGGTCTTACTGCAGATGAAATTTGTCTTTCTTCACAGTCAGCGGTTTAGTGTCCAAAGTTAAAACACACATTGTTCATCTTTTTAGTGGCGATTTTTAATCCACGTAAAATGGTGTTTTACTTCTCAAGCGCCGGTAAGTTGAGCTGCCATTAGCTGTTAGCCTGGTTAGCTTCGCACTCCTTACAGCTGTTTTGTGTCTTTCACGAGTTTTGTGCCAGGTGATTTTGCAGTTTCACTCAGTAACGGCCCACTTCCTGTCTAATTTTCAGTGGTGAGCCCTTCCTTCACGATCTACATGGGAAAAGACAAATATGAAAGTAAGAGAGCTGTCCTTTGATCGCGCACTCACGCCCTTCTCTACCTTCCTCCGATGTGTGCTATATCTGTTCATTCCTGTGTTACTTTGTTGCTTAAACACCGGTAATAAATCTCTTATTGAATCTCATCACCTTTTAACTCGAGGCTGTTTCATGCCTACAGATGAGGATCTTATCAAGTATGGATGGCCCGAAGATATCTGGTGAGATTCTTTATCTGAACTCTGAAATAACCTGAATTTTCTGCAGCTGGAATTTTTAAAGAAACTAAGATGAGCAATAAAAGTACGTGGTTCCTAGACTCAGAGATAAATGTGTCTTAACACTAAGACACATTTATGATTAGGGAATTAACTTTAAGCACCATTTGTAAGAATGTATTGAACAGTCGATGTAAACATTGAGTGAGTTTATAACAGTAGAAACATTAAAGTGCAGTCCGTTAATGTAGGCATGACAAATTCATGTTAGTTTACTTTTGTAATTTAGGGTTGAAATTAGAATAAAATGTTTTCCATGCCAAATATTCACATCCCAGAAAGTTGATTCTGGTCAAGTGGATGCAGCAATTTCAGTCAGTTTAGAGATGGTCCTTTTCACATAAATAGCAGATGAACAAGAACAAGATTTCCATACTGTTGACCCGTGGGATGCTGGTGAAAACAATACTTCTGCCAAAAACAGAGAAAGAGAGAATGAAGGCCTGATTGGCGGTAGGGAGAGAGAATGTAGGAGTTTAGAGAGTAGAGGCTTTAAATGGAGGGACTAGACCACGAGTGCGAGAGCTTGATGGTTTGGACACGTACAGCAGGGGAAAGTGGAAATACTGAAATACCAGAAGAGAGGAAGACCACACAGAAGGTTTATGGAGGCAGAGCATGCAATAGAGGCAGATGATCCACTGCGATGACCCCTGAAGTGAGACCCAAACGATGAAGGGTTGAATTAAATGGAGAAAAAAAAATAATGCACCAAGAATTCTTTGCAATTATTCAGCATTTAAACAAGTGCTTTGGATTTTCTGTATTACTAATTTCCAGTGTTGGGCAAGCTACTCAGTTACTAACTCAGTTACTAAAGAAGTAACTAGTAACTATAATTAATTACTAGTTACTTCTTTAGTAACTGAGTTAGTAACTGAGTTACAATATTCTAAAAGTAATTAATTACTTGAAAAGTAACTATTGCGTTACTTTAAAAAACCGTTTAACCCTCTGGGGTCCAGGGTATAATTGGCCATTTTTAACTACTTTTGATTTTTCCCTCCACATTTTCCCTTTACAAACTATTTACTTTGCTTGTTTGGTCTCATCCTTTTCAGCACAACCTCACGTGTCTGAATTTACAGTCATGTTTTCATTTTGACATACTGTATTAACACAACTGATCTAAAATCAGACAAAAAGCATAAAATCAGAGTAGAAAAAGTTATATTTTTTACTGTAACAACCACAAACATGTTTAATGAATCATATTTCATAACTTTAAATGCAAATATAAAT